CAGGTTGGCTGGGACGTGCCATCGCACTCGCCACCCGTGTGTCCTTCCACGCTTTGCCCTAGGAACACGCTTTGCCTGGCTTCCTGGGCATGCTTGTAGTTCTCTTCCTAACGAAAGACACGGTTCTCTTCCGCTGCGTCAGAAATGTAGCAGGTAACGTTATGTCAGGCTCATTAAATTCGTGGCATTTGGTCTCTCCTTCACTGCTCTAGGGCGTGAGTCTGTCCGGCCTCTCTGCGCTGGTAGCAGCTCGCCCTTGCTGGCTACTGCCTGAAAACGGTGATGTTTGGTAACGCTGCTGGCTCTGCAAACCGGGCGCTCCGGAGGGGGCTGTGGGGACTGATGTTGGTCGTGTCTGTAGCCATTTATGGCTCCCATGCTCCCCTCCTGACCCTGTGCAAGGTGGATGGGACGATCCCCTTCAGCTCCGCGTCCGTCGTCGTTCTTGTCGAGCTGACAAAACTGATATTCTCCCTCCTGGTCCTGCTGACCTGGGACTGGGATCTGCTGGGAGTCACCGTGTCGTGGCGCCACGTTGCCCCGTTCGCCCTCTCCGCCTTGCTCTACGCTGCCAACAACAACCTGGTGGTTCACATGCAGCTCTTCATGGACCCCAGCACCTACCAGGTCTTGAGTAACTTAAAGATTGTCAGCACCGCGCTCCTCTACAGCCTCTTCCTTCGCCAAAGGCTCGGCACGCGTTTTCCTGCTGGTGGCTGCCGGGGTGAGCTATAGCTGTGGTGGCCTGCAGGACCCTGGCAGCGCCTCCGAGATGCAGCTGCACATCACGCCGGTGGGCTTGTTGCTGATCTCAGTGTACTGCCTGATATCAGGCTTGTCTGCTGTCTACACGGAAGCCATCCTGAAAACGCAGGCACTGCCTCTCAGCCTTCAGAACTTCTTCCTTTACTTCTTCGGGGTCCTGCTCAACTTGATCGGCTACTTCTGGAGCAGCGCAGAGGGCAGCTTCTTGGAGGGCTTTTCCTCCTGGGTTCTGGTGATAGTGGTCAGCCAGGCCTTGAACGGCTTGATCATGTCCGTGGTCATGAAGCACAGCAGTAACATCACCAGGCTCTTCGTGATCTCCTGCTCTATCCTGGTCAACGCCCTCCTGTCTGTCACCCTCTTCAACTTGCAGCTCACCCTCCTCTTCTTCGTTGCCGCCTCGTGCATCGGCCTCGCTGTTCACTTGTACTATGGGGTCACGTAGCTGCTGCCTTCCTGCTCCGCATGCACCGGCGCAGTTTCCAGTTGTTCCTCAGAGGTGTTGAGTGCTTGTGCTGCTGTTAGAAATGCAGCGGTGCTCTGGCCATCTGGTGTTTGTGGGAAGTCCTTCCTGGGGGATACTTGCAAGACTAGCAAGGGGCCCCCAGAGGAGGAGGGAGTGCTTTGTCCCTGCTTCCAGGGGGAAACAGGACCCTGCTCCAACCCAGCTGGGCTCTGTGCCACAGGGTCCCTGCGCCATCAGGTGGGCTCAGCCTCGAGAGCAGGTCCTGAACATCTCGTTCACGTGGCGTATCGCATTCTCAAGCTGCTTCCCCCATCTTCCCCGCACCAAGAAGTTCACGTTTCTTGTGTCCGTAAGCGCTCCCGCAGTGGTTGGCTCCGCTGTGCCGCGGGCTCTGTGCGCAGGCGGCCCTGCTGCGTGATCGCTGCCAGGCCAGCGTTGGCCTGACGCTATTTCAGTTCCCGTGGGTGGTGCTTCCCTGTGGCAGAGGGGCCACGTCCATCTGAGGTGCCCAGCTGATCCCCAGCCCAGAAGTTCACGTTTCTTGTGTCCGTAAGCGCTCCCGCAGTGGTTGGCTCCGCTGTGCCGCGGGCTCTGTGCGCAGGCGGCCCTGCTGCGTGATCGCTGCCAGGCCAGCGTTGGCCTGACGCTATTTCAGTTCCCGTGGGTGGTGCTTCCCTGTGGCAGAGGGGCCACGTCCATCTGAGGTGCCCAGCTGATCCCCAGCCCTTGGCTTCGGGGGAGTCTTGGTGTGGTGGGAGGTGACCCCTGCTGGCCTGTGCCTCCTCTGAGCCCCTAGTGAGGTGGCAAGAGGGTTTCTCCCTCTGGATCTGTAGAGGTACCAGCCATCTGCACAGGGCTGGGTGCTGCTGCCTGGAGAGCCTCATGCCATGGCCAGGGGTGTTTCTCCCACCTCTCTGTGGTTTTTTCCAGCCCCTGGCTGTCGGGCTGCTCTCCTTGGGCCCTATTTCCCCACCTCAGTCACGGTGTCACTGCTCTGTGCAGAGCAGACGAGGAACAGAGGACGGGGGCACTGCTTTGCCCACTCCCCAAAAGGGAGACCGCGAATTTGTACCAGTGCTGTGGCTAGTGAGCTCCTGGCAGGCAGAAGTCACCGGTAGCTCTGGCCAGGGTTATTAAAATTGCGGTTCAACAGCACGTGTGTGTTTGTCCTCCCTGCAGGAAGGCATCTGTTTCACTTCCCCAGGATTTGGGGAACAGGGGGATATCTGAGCTTGACCACACTCATCGGAGAAGGGGCACCAGCTTTATTCCACGTGGCAGCAGCCCAGGGGCCCCCAGCTCTCCCGCTGTGCCTTCCCTGCCCCTGTTGCAGGGCTGTGCCTGAGGCCCGTGCTCCCGCAGGCAGGTGCCCAGTGGCAGAGCAGGGTTTTCCCCGTGGGGGCAGAGGGGTGAAGCACTCCCCTCCTGCCAGC